GCGACCATTTTATTAGTGCTTTTAGTGATGGGCTTTCAGTTTTGATCAACAAATTATTACTAATTTTAATTTTGATTTATAGTTTTGTAATATATTTAATTATTTATTTGATACTCGCATATAGACTACCCAGATTGACTTCTGCCCATCTCCGGTATACGTTTGATTTTTTTAAAACATATGTTTAGTATCAAAATTCTACGCTAGTTGTTAAATTAATACTTCTATATACTAGTTATATACTTTTATCATATTAATTTTATATAATTAAATATTGCAATAATTAAATTCAAATAAATTGGTAATAGTTTACTAGTGGGTTGTGGTCACTACCATTATAATAAATGGTTGTGAATAATAATTGTTTTGCAATTGTAATTAGCATGATAATTTACATGATAAATTAATTAATATAGTGCTAATGACTAATATGCACATTAAATTATGCACAAAACATGCATTTTTAATAACTAAAAATGTAACAACATTTATAAATTATAACTCACTTTAATTCATATTAAATGTAATTTAAAAAAAGTTTTATAACTTTTTAAAGTTAGACTTAAGACTAATTATAGCATTACTTCATAGATGTCCGTACAGTCACTATAAATATTATTCATATATAACATTACGATTAATGTGGCTTTTGGTGCGTTCGTTGGCAACTTAAATACACACGTGTTATGCTGTGAACTATAAATCATTATACAGGGGGCGGCAAATAAGATAACTAAACGTAACGGTATTTGTGTACGCGTTTTAATCATATGTTTTTGTATTACAACTAAAATGTGAAAACAAAGTGTCAATTGATTTCAAATGCCAACAAAAATACAACAAATGTTTTAAAGTGTTTTTTATTGTTAACAAAACGCCCAAAATTTTTTAAACATGTTTAATTAATGTGTGTTTTAAACATGTAAGATTTATTGCACCTAGCTCAGGATCAATGTGTTTTGATTCAAATGAAACACACATTTGCGCTACCGTTTTGTGCTAACACCTAATCCCGGCTGAGATTTTTACATTGTTTTTTTGATTGTGGTAAATATATTTATTTGTTTTTTTATGTTGATTAATTAAAACTTTATTTTTTTAAATAATATTTATTTTTATTTATTTATTCAGATGTTTATATTGTTTGCATTTTATAAAATGATTAATGTAATACTCGGTGACAAGTAAATTAAATGTACCACACATTGTGTATACCTCATCGTAGCGTAGGGCAAATCGAGGGCAAACGGGGTACTAGTTGTAATGTTTAATACAGTCTACCCTCGCTTTTGACACTCGCGATTTTAACAGATTTCGGTTTTAACATAAGTTTTCGTTAGCACGGGCGAGCCCTATGCATACTATAATGTTAACTTATTCGGTTTTAACAGATTATTTTAACAGATTTCGATTTTGACAGAGAATTTTTATATCTCTATAGCATAAACAATGCTTCAATTTTAACACATTGAACATTAAAAGAACTCTTTTTTGCAATGATTGTTATTTTAATATGATTTTTACAAAATAATAAACTATAAAACTTAGAAAAGGTCTTACTTTAGAAGTAATGTACAAAAACACTAAATTGAATAACTAAAATGTTATTTTAATGCCAATAAAGCTATTTTCGATTTTAACAGAATTCGATTTTGACACATATTTTTTACAGCACCGATGAAATGTCAAAACCGGGGGCAAACTGTATGCTTAAAATGATTGAGGTAAGACATTAAGTACGTCCCAATATGAACAGTGCCAGATACGATAAGGTGTATACATTATGTCAACATTTTTAGCTAGATTAGTTTATACAATTTAATCATGCACATATTATAAACTAGTGACAGTGGATTTTACCTAGTTTAACAATTTATATAAATGGTGTGTTATAGGGAACTAATTGATAAAGTTATCCGGAGCGTATATCCGGAGATATAAAGTAATGCTCCATTACTAACGACCCCGATAATTAATTACCATGGTTATATGAAATAGAGTAACATCTATTGTCAAGTTTTAATAATTAGTTTAACATGTTCATTTTGTAGTACCGGTACTTAGAAATGCAAATTTATTTGATATAACGTAATATTACTATAATATTTATCCGTAAACATTAATTAATATCTTGACTAACAATTAGCTGAATTAAAACTTTTAAAAATAATCTTATTGCAATTTTGTTTATTATACAGGTATTTAACTAACGTATCCAATTAGTGGTACCCCCGGGGCTAGAATAATGTACGTGCCTTTAATAATAGCCATTGTATTCATATCATGTTGCCTGAACGTGGTGTTTCTCGAGGCCATGATCAGGTGAGTTATATCAAACTAATATTCATTCATTAATTGCAATACTAATTAAAAGTATTGATATATTTATTATAACAGATACTCTCCGGGCAGTGGAAATCTGATCACATTCTCGCAGTTCCTGTTCATAGCGGTCGAGGGCTTTCTCTCCACCTCCCGGTGCGGCCGAAACAAGCCCTCCATTCCCATTAGGTTAGCCCCCACTCCGAGCCCATCATTCATTGCTACTTGTTTTGCACTTTTTTGTTTTGTTTTGTTTTATAACTAATTGTTATTTTAATGAATGAATCAATTAATTCGTGTTTTACCACTCGTTTAGGAAATACCTATCGCTTGTGATACTCTTCTTTCTGGTCAATGTGTCCAACAATTATGCGTTGAATTTCAATATATCGGTTCCGCTGCACATCATCTTCCGATCCGTTAGCCATTTTAAGAGAGAGAGAGAGAGAGAGAGAGAGAGAATTGATTACTTGATAAAAGACGGCTTCTTTGGGGTGTTTGCCATAAGTGGTGAACAAAACCTCTTGAAAAATGCCTAAACGGGCCGACAATAGCAGCGCAAACGTCAGCAGAGATATACCGATCGTATAATCGTATACCGAGTGCTCTCTGACGGGCAACGGGTGGCCAGTGTTGAGATCGGTAGACGTTTTTAGGGCTCTCGGGGGAGCGGCCGACGGATGAGATGAGGCCAATGTAGCCATAATTATGCCGACCGTAATGAGTCCGACGGACATGTATTTACAGGCAGAGTATTGGCGTTTAAGTATCAGTATTCCCAACAACATGTTGGCCATCAATGAGCCCTTTATAATAATGAAAAACACAATTAAATAATTATAATAAAATTAAAACTACGACTAAAATGGCTAACGGATCGGAAGATGATGTGCAGCGGAACCGATATATTGAAATTCAACGCATAATTGTTGGACACATTGACCAGAAAGAAGAGTATCACAAGCGATAGGTATTTCCTAAACGAGTGGTAAAACACGAATTAATTGATTCATTCATTAAAATAACAATTAGTTATAAAACAAAACAAAAAGTGCAAAACAAATGGCAATGAATGATAAGCTCGGAGTGGGGGTCGAAGTGGAGTGGGGGCTAACCTAATGGGAATGGAGGGCTTGTTTCGGCCGCACCGGGAGGTGGAGAGAAAGCCCTCGACCGCTATGAACAAGAACTGCGAGAATGTGATCAGATTTCCACTGCCCGGAGAGTATCTGTTATAATAAATATATCAATACTTTTAATTAGTATCACAATTAATAAATGAATATTAGTTTAATATAACTCACCTGATCATGGCCTCGAGAAACACCACGTTCAGGCAACATGATATGAATACAATGGCTATTATTAAAGGCACGTACATTATTCTAGCCCCGGGGCGTACTACTAATTGGACACTTTAGTTAAATACCTGTATAATAAACAAAATTGCAATAAGATGATTTTTAAAAGTTTTAATTCAGCTAATTGTTAGTCAGGATATTAATTAATGATTACGGGATAAATATTATAATAATATTATGTTATGTCAAATAAATTTGCATTTCTAAGTACCGGTACTACAAAATGAACATGTTAAACTAATTATTAAAACTTGACAATAGATGTTACTCTATTTCATATAACCATGGTAATTAATTATCGGGGTCGTTAGTAATAGAGCATTACTTTATATCTCCGGATACCTTTATCAATTAGTTCCCTATAACACACCATTTATATAAATTGTTAAACTAGGTAAAATCCACTGTCACTAGTTTATAATATGTGCATGATGAAATTGTATAAATTAATCAGATTTAATTAGAGAGGTAGCTAGCTAAAAATGTTGACATAATAGACACAATGTGTGGTATACTTTTAATTTTCTTGTCACCGAGTATTACATTAATCATTTTATAAAATGCAAACAATATAGACATCTGAATAAATAAATCAAAATAAATATTATTTAAAAAAATAAAGTTTTAATTAATCAACATAAATATTTACCACAACCAAAAAACAATGTAAAAAATCTCAGCCGGGATTAGTTGTTGGGCACAAAACGGTAGCGCAAATGTGTTTCAAAACACATTGATCCTAGATCATAGATGCAATAAATCTTACATGTTTAAAACACACACATTAATTAAACATGTTTAATATTTTTGGGCGTTTTGTTAACAATAAAAAACACTTTAAAACATTTGTTGTATTTTTGTTGGCATTTGAAATCAATTGACACTTTGTTTTCACATTTCATTTACATTTACAATACAAAAACATATGATTTAAACCCGTACACAAATACCGTTACGTTTAATTATCTTAATTGCCACCCCCTGTATAATGATTTATAGTTTATAGCATAACACGTGTGTATTTAAGTTGCCAATGAACACACCAATAGCCACATTAATCGTAACGTTATATATGAATGGTATTTATAGTGACTGTACGGACATCTATGAAGTAATGTTATAATTAGTCTTAAGTCTAACTTTAAAAAGTTATAAAACTTTTTTGAAATTACATTTAATATGAATTAAAGTGAGTTATAATTTATAAATGTTGTTACATTTTTAGTTATTACAAATGCATGTTTTGTGCATAATAGTCATTAGCACTATATTAATTAATTTATCATGTAAATTATCATGCTAATTACAATTGCAAAACAATTATTATTCACAACCATTTATTATAAATGTTAGTGACCACAACCCACTAGTAAACTATTACCAATTTATTTGCATTTAATTATTGCAATATTTAATTATATAAAATTAATATGATAAAAGTATATAACTAGTATATAGAAGTATTAATTTAACAACTAGCGTAGAATTTTGATACTAAACATATGTTTTAAAAAAAATCAAACGTATACCGGAGATGGGCAGAAGTCAATCTGGGCAGTCTATATGCGAGTATCAAATAAATAATTAAATATATTACAAAACTATAAATCAAAATTAAAATTAGTAATAATTTGTTGATCAAAACTGAAAGCCCATCACTAAAAGCACTAATAAAATGGTCGCAAAGCTGTTGATTGTTGTCTCACTGATAGCGGGCCTAACGGCCCAAACGCTGGCCTTATCGTTGCGCCAGAGAGTGAAGCGCGATTCCGCGGACGACGACTTGGGCATATCTGGCATACCCGAGCATATACAGGTCTGCACTCCTAACCATAAATAAGTTACTTATTACAATTCGTACTGATTTAACACGATCATTTTTGAATGGCCAGATGGGTTCGCAACAAGACTCGCAGTCCAATCAGGAACAGTCGGCCGGCAAAAAGGGCGCCGCCGTTCAGCAAAACCAACTGAGTCAACAGCAATTGGCGGCCGCGTTCGGCGGCAAACACTATCTGCTACAACAACAGCTAGCGATGGGTCAACAGATGGCCAAATTGGGCACTAAAGTGGCCGCACAACAGGTGACCGACACCCAGAAGCAGGCGGTGGCCAACGGTGTGGTGGAGAAGAGCGCCCACTCGGCCACCAATGAGGAAGTGGGCACTGCTCGCAACGCCGCTGACCCCAAAAGCGATCTCGAAGAGGTGGGTCAATCCGAATAGCCTTATTCATCAGCTTTTGGTTATTTAAATTCAATTTAATTTATTATTGATTTATGTAATAAAATAATTTTTTGTTGAATTTTGTTCATTTTATTTTTTGAGTAAATTTAATTATGTTTTTTTGCTGAGTTATATTATTTTATTAAGAAAACATTTTTATCTATGAACATTTATTTTATTTTTTATTGTGCGTTAAAATAATAATTTTCATGTGATTTATTTGTGGCAATTTGTGATTGATTGTTCATTTTAAAAATAAAAATTATAGATGATTAGCATGGAGTTTAGATATACGGATGTTCACTATAACGAGCATCATCGGCGCTATTACTGAAAGTGCTCAAAATGAAACCTAAATCGACCATATGTTTAGTTAAAAATTAAGAAAATTTATAAATTAATTATAAATCAAACAGCAAAAAAGGGGGATGCTAACAATTATTGGTAACTCAATACACGAAATAACGCAATCAATTCATTAAATCAAATTTAATTAAAACTTTAGAAACTCGAATCCAATAAAAACGAACCATAAGTTTTAGTTTCAATCTGTGTTTCAGGCGTTTTGTGTGAGAGAAGTGGTCGTAGAAAAAAAATCTCAACAAAATATCAATCAAATCAGATTTAGTAGTCAACTAAACGAGATCATTAAATAATCGCAATGCAATTTGTGATCACTTTGTCGATTGTCTTGTTGGTGGCCGTGTCGCTGGTGTCGACCGTTCCTGGTAAAAAGCTGGTCGCTCAGCAGGCGAACGAGCAGGTACAGGGGACCGCAACCAGAGTACAGAACAAAGCGACAAAGGCTCTGTTAAGTTTGGTACCCATCGGCAAAAAGTTACCGGTGCCGGTGCCGCTGCCCGCACCGGCCGAGGCGCTCAAGGCTACCGTCGAGGAACGGGTGGACGAGCTGAAGAACGGCGCCAACGAGGCCTTACCCGTCGCCGCCGCCGCTGGCGAACTCGCCGGCGAAAAAGTCGACGAGGCCGATGATGATCCCAACGATGGTATAGTACATATCATAATAGCTATTATCATGTATTTAATTGTGTTTACTCTCTCTCCCCCCTCCCCCCCCTCTCTCTCTCTCTCCCGGCTGAGATTTTTTACAATCAATGCATACCATAAGTGGGATAACAGTTTTGGCCGGTTTTGATGGCTTAACGTGAATGAAGTGAATATCAATGCCATTAATACGTGTCTTGTATTGATTGAATTGATTCAAAAAGAAGAGGACAAAAGAGGTTAACTTACATAAGAAGGTCATTAGCTGCTGAAAGACGTCTATTAGCGGTAATTTCGGCATTAACTTAACTCACGGCCGATAACCGCTGTGTATTGCCCGACTCAGATCTCGTCGGCGCAAATCGTTGAGCACATCGTCGGACACATTGATTGTAAACTTATTGATAGCCTCCGGGTCTTTGGGTATGGCTTCACCCGCTGTTATATAACAGCAAAACAAATAAATTTTTATTAAAAATTGGTTGTTATAAATAAAATGTTACAAACTTACGTTTGAGTGCATTTTTGCCAAACCATAGCTCCGGTATGTGAGGTAGCGGTGGGTCTGGTGTTAGAAATAGTTGATATAATACGGCACCGAAGCCGACAACTATTGCCAGTAAAAATAATTTGCCGATAAATCCCATGCCTTTTCACGTAAAACAATACAAAACTATTTTCACAACTATTTTACAAATAATTGATTTGTTATAAAAAATAACGTTTCGCTCAAATGAGACAATGAGACAGAAATATAATACAGTATTTTAATTAATAGTATTGTAATGAGAAATAAAATATAAAACGTTAAGTAAACTGCAATATAATCTATCTCTTTCTCACTCGCTATGTTTGTCTGGTAACCAGACTCTGGCTGTTAAATAATGTTTACATTAATGAATTGTTTAGTGCATTGAAGACATATACCGACCCAATGTCTCCCCCTCTCCATACAAAGTGTCCTTGAAGTTTGACTATNGCTGTTAAATAATGTTTACATTAATGAATTGTTTAGTGCATTGAAGACATATACCGACCCAATGTCTCCCCCTCTCCATACAAAGTGTCCTTGAAGTTTGACTATGGGAACAGGTTTGGCACTTCAAATGAAAGTACACTATACCATTTGCTGCATTGTAAGCCAGTACACTAACCATCACTCTATCTCATTCCCCCTTATATCTTATAATACGGTAACTTTCTTACATAATGCACTAATCGAGTTCACTATTCATGTTATGTATAACTTATTCTGTAAATATAAAATCAATTCATGTAAATTGTAGCTTATTCTGGATCTCAACATGTAAATTAACATGGTATCACTAGATGTTGCCAATTTACTAAATTTGCATAGAATAATAAAGGTAAAATTAGTCATGTTCGCCATAATTAATATTTTATCTGTGCTTAAAATATACATTTAGTCAAATAATGTAAGGTATATAAAGTTTTTTTTATAAGTTATATAAAACTTTACCCGTTATTATGCACCAAAATGTAGCCTTTTATCGACACAATGTACTGTTGTATCCGTGCGTTTATAACACACCATCCTTGAGATCTCAATCAAGTTGTTATATAATTAAATATAAATTATGATAAATTTATAAATTACATTACATTAAACAGTTTTCGTAATCACTATTCAAATGGAAATAAATATTTATTTATATAAAAATAGTATTTTGTTTGTTTTAACAATCAGTCTATCGATAAGAAAAATTTATATTAAAGATAATTATAAAATTGCTTTAAATTTTCTGTAATCAATAATAATTAATTTATATATAAATACAAAATACGAGTTAACAGTGAAAAAATTACTAAAATCTCATTTACGTAAACATTTCAAATGAAAACTATAATTAACTAAATACGGATTACAACTGAAACATCTACACAATAATTATAACTTTAATTAAAATTATAATAATTCATAAGTAATAATGAGAATAATGGGAAAGTAATTTTCAGCGATGGAAGTAAAATAAAACACAAAAAATAATAAATTATAATTAAATTAAAACAACCAAAAATCCCAAAACACAACAATCAATCACTTTCTGAAGACTTATCGGATTCGCGTAATTTGGCTTTAATTGTGATCACATTCTCGTAGCCGTTAGCGGCCAGTCGTCGGCCGTACCACACATTCTGGGCACAGTTGGCCAGCGCTAGGAACCGGTTGTTCACCACCGGTAAGTCCATAAACAAAAGGGAACCGGCGAACACTAGCGCAGTGGCCGCCCAGTGGGTGCCGGTAAACGGGTTTTGGAAGTAAAATATCGATATAATGAGCGAGATGAATTTCCTGATGGTCAACACCAGGGTCACTGTGAGCGAAGTGCACTCGCTCATTAATATCATCACACACATGATGCACGAGTACTGTGTGACCATGTTTGCCACCAGATATAGCCACAGGTAGGGTATGTTCAACCAGGAACTGGCGGGCGAGGCGTTGAACATCAGGGTCTCGGAGTAGATGTCGGGCAGCATTAGTAAAAAGCCCGGCAATGATAGCGCGTGCTGTTTATGGGAGAGTATAATAAATTAGTGGTTATGTTGAGAGAGAGAGAGCAGTTCTTGTTCATAGCGGTCGAGGGCTTTCTCTCCACCTCCCGGTGCGGCCGAAACAAGCCCTCCATTCCCATTAGGTTAGCCCCCACTCCACTTCGACCCCCACTCCGA